GGTACTTGTTACAGTGAAATTTAGATAAACAACACTTAGGAGAAGAAAAGGGTTATAATGAGAGCAAATAGATTCCTAGATTCCTTAAAGCAAAGAAGCCCTGTTCATGCTATGTAGTATGGGGAAAGTTTGGGGGTTTTTTTTGTCTTTTTTTTTGGTCAATTTGCTGTTGAAGAAGGAAAAGAATATACTTTGCACAAAACATTCCAATACCTGTTGTGCTACAAAATCTGAGTGAATATCTGTAAATACTTTAATCATAGCTTACAGCTCGGGGCAGCCCTCAGAAGCAATTAAATATCCAGGTAGTGACGCAAACACTGAAGAGCTCTAGGTCACTCCCAGCAGGGATTTGCTTTAGCTAGCTCAATGCTAACTTGAGTATTTTAAGTACTACCCTGCTGATGCATTTTGAAGGAGAGCTACTGACTGATACAACAGTTTTGAGAGTAATACAGAAAATTTCTGTTTCAACTTATATTTTAGATGCTTAAGACCTTTAGAAGACAGATATCCCAGAACTCCTCAAACTATCCAATGCTTTGCTAGGTCTTAGGTTGGAATCTGGGTTGTTCAGTAATATTAAAATTATTCTGATCAGTAACAATCTTTGTTGTTAGATATCTAATTTTCTGCTAGTAGAACTACTAAGTTAGGCATTGAATTTTGAGGAAATGTAGTGGTTATTGAAATGTAACTGATTGTTTTCCTTTGGGATTCAACCCTAAGATTCTAGTTATAAGTTCTTGAATCAAAGTTTACTTATTTTACTCTAGCAGAATAAAGCTATTTTGGTCAAGTTTTGTCACTCAAACCATAATACTTACTGGTTTTACTTTCTATGTGATACAGATTATGAACATCCAGGGAACTTAAAATCTAAGAGGCCTTCCTAGTCACATAAACTTCAAAAATATGCCTTGACCTTACACTGCATTTAATGGTTTCTTTGCTTATAAAAGGATTCTGCAGACTTGTTATCCTTAGCCTTGTAAGAAGGGTAGCAGGCTAAGGCAGGATTCTACCTTGACTTTGGATAGGCTGAGGACTCTGGAAAGTTTAGCTACAAAAAAGCTATGAAAAGAGAGTCAGTTATAAAGATTATTTGGATCCAGAATAAAATGTGACACATATAAAACCAATAACATGCTAAAAGGTCAGAAACAACCAAATAATTTCTTTTGAAGGCCTTTTGCTCTGCTGTAGATCGCTTGGATGAACTCATGGCCACCAGTGCTTGATTCTGCCTAAATAACTACTGTGCTCATTACTAAGCTGGACAACTTCTTGGTGTTGGGAAAAATAACAATTCAGTCACTGCTTTTCTTGTCACCGTTAAACTATTGTTATTTCATCATGACTTTAGGAACTATGGCTTCCGGTTATTTTCTTCCCAGCTGAGACAAAAAATGAAAATCCCAATTGCTCTCCACTTTTATGACACTTACCACACAGAGTTCCAAAACTATTATTTGCAGTGGCTATGTTATTGAAACCAGCTTTTCTGAGAAAAATCAGAACAGCTGAAGCCTGGTTTCTGCAGATTTTATTGCTATGTGCAAATGTACAGACTGTGGTAATCCTGGCTCATGCCCCTCTCTGCACCTCCTATTCAGCAAGTTTTGCACGTGCTACGTGGCTGGCTCTTACGCCTCACACACCAGGTAACTGTTCAGCTTGTCCTATAGCCCTTCTTTTGGCAGTAACATTAATATCCATTTCTAACTTCTACCTATTCAGCAGTTTTCACAAAACATTTTAATATCTTTCACACCTTTTTCCCTCAGGCCAGTTTCTTCAGAAAACAGTAGGTATTTAAATCTTTCCAATTCATATGATTATTCTCCAAAGATTTTTTTTCAAAGGTATTACAAATCAGAAATTCAGTCTAAAGAAACAGTTGTTTAAGCACAGTGCTTTAGAAAACTAGATTCTTTTTATCACCAAAATATAAGAGAATGGTCAACTAGTAATGTACCATTGGTGTTTTGCTTTTCTCTCTCTCTCTTTTTTAACCATATAAAACTCAAATTTACAGAAATGTTCCTGAAAGTGGCACAAACAGCAAGCATTCTTCACTTGCTCTGCAATACATCAGTGGTTTTAAATAGGCTTGTCTTTCCACTGCAGGGTATTAGCTATTGACTGGACATTCAGTATACCCCATAAAACCCCTTTCAGCTTCAGAATGAGGGGAAGTGTTGTGCAGAGGGGATATTATGTAACTGTTTAGCAGTTCCTAGTAATATTAGCATAGTCTAGAATCCACCACTGTGTGCTTTCTTATCTTATAAAGGAAAGAGCCCCTTTCTTTCCCCAAGATTCAGAGACAGGACTTTGAAGCCTCACGCAAACAGCTCGTAAGTATTTGCCGTGTCCTTACGCGGTTAGCCCAGTCTCGGAAGCACTGACTGAGCCCTGGCTTTCGTTCTACGAGCTCCGCCACAGCGCTCAGCTCCACACCTCCCCCTTGTGCGGGTAGGCCTTCAGAAGAAATCCACCCTGCCAGAACCCTGTCCGTGCTGTATGCGAGTGACCTCTTCAGCCAAGGCACCGTCATTACCTAAACGTCGCGGCGCAGAATTGTATTGACTTCCAAAAGGACTATTTTTTTTGAGGTACAGCTGCCCTATTTTTCCTCTATTGAAGATCCACAATGAAATCGAAGCAAAAGGGGAAATGTATTTTTCAGTGGCAACTTTGGAAAAGTAGTTTTTTGTTACTGAATAATATGTTTTCTTTAAGTTTATTCACAAATTTGTGTGCTATTGCCAGATGGAGAATTATTAATAATTATTAAATATAACCAATTCGAGGGTGGACCATGAAAGTGTTTTAAAATGACTGTCAGGAAGCTTTGCAAGAGACTGAGAAGTTGGCATGAGGCATATTTGCTGCGATTCAGCAACAGTTGTATCTGCAGACTATTAACATAGCACAATCACAGGTTTCAAAATCGTAAATAAAGCACAATTTACTGTCTCTAGTGACTGCAGGTGGAGTCTAGGGTGACTTGGTCAGGTCAATCTAATCTACACCTATGGGTGAAATTCAGTGAAAAGGTCTTTCATATTAATTAATAGCAACTGTTTTTCTTCCTTAGGGGTGGTCCTTCTGTCTGTTGCTACTACTCTATTTTACAACTCAAATGTGTCAGTAACAGTACATTAGCTGTCATATTACCTAACCCAAAAACAACAACAGAAGAATTACTAGAAGTTAACAGCTTGTGTCGCCGTAGTGTGCACATCAGTACCACTGGCAGGCTGCAATAGCTTAGTGAGGGGGAAGAAAGTGTCTGAGAAAAGAAACACAAGGAGGAGGATTCTCTGGCTGTCACAATTGTGTGACTTCTACAATTCCTCCTTCCTGCTTTATGGAAGTCTGAAGGAGAACAAACAACTGGAAAGCTTTTGCACCCATAACTGCGGTTCTCGTCCTTGTTTCCCAGCAGATATTAAAAAAATACCAAACAACTATTAATGACATGACATGGCTGGATATTGCTTGATGGGCACAGCAATTTAGGCATTACAATTATATTTTTGGGGTAAGCTTCCTGACCTGTCGGCAAGGCTTGTGACGCAATTTCTTTGTTTAGCATACTTAGATCCACAGCTTGTCTTGGTTTAGAAGATCAGTTATCTTCAGTTTGTAGGACAATCTAAGCTCGAGTACCCTATCAATGTACTTAACGTGTTGAGATACAACTTTTTCTGCTTTGTATCCAAGAACAAGAACACACTTGATGTCTTTCTAAATGATCTTTTGACCCTGTAAAAATTTCAGTGTCTCAATATTCAGCTTGTCTGGGAAGTCACTCAAGACTCAGATAACGATAAAGGCAATGCTGTGGTCTTGAACAGTCACAAACAAGAATCGCCAGAGATATTTTCTACAAAGTAACTTTTCACCTTGGAATGAAAGCATGTATAAGCACATACAGCCATAACATGACTTTTCAAAGCTGTATTTTTTAATCTTGTTGACTTCACAGCAAAAGATACGAAGAAATTTAAAGCACAAGTGTTAGAGAAAAGTGATTGCTACATTCCTTTAAGGAAGCGTTGAGAACTTAAAAAAATTATGTAGTCTTCAGATGTAACTAAAGACCCTTACAGGAAGTTCTGAAGGAGGAACTACAAATTCTATCATGTCCAAACAGGACTTTTTTGACAAAATTTTCCTTTGAGAATATCAAATATGCTCAGTTGACTTTAAACCAAAATAGGTTGTGAGGAACTATATAAACTAGAGGTATAATCTCCCTGTGTGTGTTAAGCAATCACATTAGCATTAAGGCTCAGATTGGTGAAGTGGCAAACACTGTGCAGTGCTGGCTGACCATAATTGCTATTAGCTTTAGAAGGAAGACAAGACAGTGGAAAGCATTAGGAGTTATTCATAATAAAAATAAACTAAAACAAAACACCTAAAACAAACTTGTGCAGCAGTTGCTTTTATGTTTTGTCATTGAACAAAAGCAAATGCACATAAATTTCAATATAAAGTATCAAAAGTTTTGAAATGGGGACCATGTTAATGTCTTCTGGAAAGGTCTTACACAGGAGGATATTTGTCTAGATTTAGAAAACTGTGGCTTATCTCATAGTAGAGACCCCAAATCCCATTGGTACGGTGCTTGGAGACATTCTAATTAATTGACAGTAAAAACTGTATCAGCTGCCTGATATATGCCCTTCAGGGGCAAATTGTGATTTCTTTCACCTAGATTAATAAGGTAACAGTCACACAGAATGTTGTTAGAGCCAATTCTGTGTCTAATTCTGCCATGAGGCTCTTGATTCAAGCAGGACCTCATTTCCCAAGCAGAAAACAATGAAACGAGAACTAAAGAGGTCAGAATCTGTTATTCCATGTGCTTACTAACACTGGATGATCCACTGTTGTTATGTGACTACCTCTAAGCAGTCCACTGTGATACCTTCCACCATCAAGACGATGATATCCACTGACTTAGTTAAAAGGCATGCACTTACCTGACATCAGGGACCGGGTTGCCAACAACTCTGCACTCCAGCAATACTTTGTTTCCTTCAGCAACTTCCTGGCTCCGGAGCTTCTGAGTGAATTGAGGTGGTGAAGACTGATTCTCTTCCATGCTGATAAAGGGGTGGCAAAGGACCGTTTCGCTCTGAGTGATGCTCTCCCTTTCAGCAAAGCGTTCTCCATTCAGATGAACTCCGGGTAATTTTGCCTCAGGCTCAGTCTCTTGATGTGGCTTGTCAAACTCATGGTTCACGGAGGTATTTACAGCTGGTTGTTTCTTTTTAGGAGACAGGTATCCGCTGTCTGGAGAAGAAGAGTCCCCATCAGGACTTCGGCCTCTTGTCTTTGCTGCCTGTCTAAATATAGATGACAGTTCCTCTATGAATGTGGCAGCTTTGTCACACAGCTTGTTCCTGAAAGGAACTTCTCCCTGAGACGCCGATTCAGACTTTGGGCTTGTCCTAGGCACACCTGGACCATCTTTCTCCAAATGTTTCAGGCTTCTAATGAAGCTGGGACTAGCAGTTAGCAAAGGTGATGTGCTTGCTTGCCTCCTGGAAACTGTGACAAAACGACCTGCTGCTTGAGGTGTGGTGGATTGCTCTTTCTGGTTCCTTGGGAGAACATGACTTGCAGCAGATGAAGTCAGACCACTTGCTTGAGACCTCTGTAAAGTGTCTTGCTCATGCAGTTTGGTATCCCTGAAAGAAGGATTTTCTGAAGTGCTACAGAGAGAGGTGTTGAAATAATTAGTAAAGTCTGGTGCTGCATTCTGATCCTCCTTCATGGAACTGGCAATGGCTTCCCGAGCTATGTCAAGGCTCTTACATATCTCCTCCTGGGTAAGGAAGGCAGAAAGTTCGTTTGAAAATTCCCCATTCTGTATGTCTGATACAGAATCATGGAAAAAGTCACGGTAGGATGAAGCTTCTGACATATTTTCAGGATATCCCTTATTGGTGCCTCTCTCTGCACAGTAAGCCTCCTTCAGCATTAAAGAAAGAGGCAATGCCTGGCCACAGCTTCTGTCTTGCATCCTGGAAGACAGAAATAAAATTCCTTAACGAAAAAACTTCTCAATAAAAAAACCCACAACCCTGTTATATCCTTGTTCCCGTAAACTAGACACTGGGAGAAAAGCAGAACCCAATGGTGCATGAAATAACTTACCATAAACCTTGGTTCCTGTTAGAATGGGCCAGGGCTGTAAGTTGCCTAGGTGGAAATGAGAGAATTTAGGAGTAATTTTTCTCATGCATCTTCCTTTAGGACTACGAAGGCATCCTTTGTACATTGCCTAACACAATCTCAATTCCACTGGACACCAATCAGTTGGTGTAAATCCACTCAATTCCACACCAATCTGAGAGATTTGTTATTTCACATCTGATTTCTTATTTCACATCAATGCTATTACACTTCATTTTTTCTGGATTTAGGCTCATGATGATTTGGGGAACATATTTACTTTTCTCTTTCCCATAACACTGCCCTCCAGACACGAAACCATCAAATTCCAAGAGGAAAACAGTGTTCTAGTTGAAACCACTATGAAGAACCTACACAAGGATGTTTGGATTAGAAATTCCAAGTTATCCTTTCTGTTTAATGTTGACAATCCATTTAATACTATTTTACTTCTTGTGATAACATTTTTAACTTGTTACCTTTCAATACAATTTAGTAGTGCTTTCCTCAACAGTGATAAGTGGAATATCAAACTACCACATGCTAAAATCAAAACACTGAAGAAATAGGTTTCACAACCTATGCATCATCCTGCACCATGTAAGTGTACAATGTATATTGTGTACCAGTTTCACAAGGTGCACAAGCACCTATCCATCTCCAGTTTTCCCACATGATTTTAGAATGGGGATGATCATTCTCTGCTTCTGTAAAGCCAGCAAGAAACAAGACATGCAGGAAACTGCTCTTTTCCCAAGGGAAGGATCTGCCTGAACCTCTCCCTATTCAAATTCATTTGTCCTGCTGGTCACTAGATTGTGGGTGATCTGATCTTGAAAGTAATTATTGCTTCTGCGAAGCATCTAAGTTGAACATCAGTGGTTTTAATTACCCTTGAAAATTCTCTTCCTTTTATGGTAATTTCTATGAGATTAACTCTACAAGATTTAAAAAAATATTCTATTTTCTCTTAATGGTCCAAATTATTTCTCCACTGATAAGATAGGTGGGTTGATAGTCACGAGATACACTCGGATGTATTTTATGTTAGCTTCTGCAAGCTCCAATTACCTTTAGTCACTTCACCAGGGCTTACCCGGCATGCAGTCATTAACTGACTGATAGATTATTGGAATTCTTGGCTTGGCATATGCATCCCTTGATATGCCTGCTTGTCTTGCCAACAGATTACAACTCAACACACAAGAGAAGTATAAGGAAACCAAAGCATTTTAGGATTTGATATATGTTTTTATAGAATACAGGGATAGGTTTATTCTTTGCTGGGATTACACCTTTCTTTCCATTTATCTGTGTTTACAGGGCAACAAATTTAGCAATCATGCCAACCTCTTGTCAACAAAACCTAAAAAAGTATATACAGTATAACTGACTAGTACATAGCAGCTTTAAAGAATGAATCTGAGAAGCCAAGCAAACAGTTGGTCTAGAGGCTCAGCTGTTAAGGCATAAACTGGATGAATGCCACTGAACCAAGGGTTAAACCTGGAGAGTTTCTGTCTCCTTAATCTTAGTTATTTTTTAAAACTTTGTATTCAAATGAACAAGAGTGCTAATTTACTATTTAGATAACTTGGAAATATCTGTGCTTCAAATGATTATTTAAATCTGGTTCATACTGGTTCCTAGCTTGCTCACATCTCAAAGTGATACATTACATACTGAGATAAACTTCCCTGACTTCTAGCACCAAGCTGCTCCGGTGTTTCAATGGGTTATGGGTTGGAGGACAATTTCACATGTTGCTAACCTAACATAATGATTAAAATAAATGTATTATGAATGAGCATTTCTCCTTGTAATACTCAGTCTTATCATTAGAAAAATACAATGGCTACCCATGTCATAATTTTCAAAGCCCACTGTCTAAATTCAGGTAAATTGATCTGTAGCTAGGTATTTAGATAAAGTCGACGTGCTGGTGGTTGGCAGTTTCTAATGCCGGTAAGCCTTCTTGGTAAGAAAATTCTGGTGCCTAAAAATGCATTTATATGTCTAGCTTTAGGCAGCTGAATGGAAGCTTCCAGTCTAAAGACTCTTTTTTTCAGCCACACACTGCAACACATAAAATTGCTGTTCTTTCAGAGCAACTTGTAACTGCAGCAAACTGGAGGTGAAGTATTCCTAACCCTATCAAGTAGCATATAAGATCTTAATTAGAAATTTCGAATGCTATTTCTAGCTTCTCCAAGTTAGACTACAATGTATTTATAACAGTTTCCATCATCATTACTCCTGAGGTAACCTGCAAAGCCATATATGATATCATTTAAAGACACAAACATGAAATACAATGTTGCATGCAGATCACTGTTCAGCCGTCCTTCCAGCATTATTACATATAAACTATTTATGGGGTCCTATTTGCTATATATTTTAAACTTACAAGTAAACACACATTTTAATATCATATTTTTAAAATATGTATTCAGAAAATAATACACATGTTCTAAGGAATAATATGGTAAATAGTAAATTCAAAATGCACTGAATTACTCTAATCTCAGAAAATAATAATCAGATTAAGATACTCAAGAGACAAATAATGAAATATGGAAAACCAAAAGACTCATTTCAAGAAGAGCATAAGCATCCTGAATTTGCAGAACCTGTCCAATGAAAAATTATTAATTAAAAAAATACGACCCAAATCCAATCTGTTTAAAGGAACATGAAGGAAGATACGCATGCAGTAAGACTTTTTTAAAACAAAAAAGCACATATTTTTCCTCTGAATTTTGAAATCCTGAAAAATTACTCCCCAAAGTACAATAATTGAATTTAGCAGAAAATATGAAACAGACCTTACAATGAACAGGCCAATATGAAGAGTCTCAAGTATAATTAATAGCAGGTAAAGTTGGTTTTTTCCTTCTTTATCTAAGCAGGCTTAAAGTTGCTCCAGCTATTCGCTAAAGATTGTTTGGTCCTCAGTAAGCATCGAGAAGACTGTGGCCTGTGCACTACATCTGTCCTCTGTGACTATGTAATTCTTACCCCACACATCTATATTTGGTAACTGAACTCATGTTTCAGCAGACTGCTGCTATCTGGAATTCCAGTAGAAGCAACGTTAGGCCTAGAAGCGGCACAAAGTTCTGTGCACTTACTACTCAGAAATTCAGAGAACTTAATTGCTTAAATGAGCAACTTTTGTTGTATTTAACACAGTATTTTAGGCTCCTTTAAAATATTATTCTGGAATATTAGGATGTGATTTTTGCTCCTTATTAAAAGGCCTACCTCCACAGGTCATACAAAACACAGTGTGTGAAAGTTAATTTTTTTTTTTTTTAATTCTTTCTACAGCATTTTTTCTTAATAGACTTTTAATTTTTTAACAAAATTAACTTTTTATGACAATGAATAAAATAATTGACTTTTTCTACGAAAAGTAGTTTAAAAGTAATAGCTTCCTTGTGTACCTTAAAATTTTCCAGGAAAAGGAAAAAACCATAGAATTATAGAATCATTGAGGTTGGAAAAGACCTTAACATTCTTAGAATTACAGCAGAAATGGTACATCTTTTTGTAGTAATAGATAATTAGCAATCTGTAACCGTATACTAAACCGTATAAATAACCCTCCTGAATTTTCCCATCTCAAATGAAGTAATCTTATAATCAGAAAGGAAGTATCTCCGTCAGACATGACACACAAAATCCCTGGAAAACACATATGCTTAAAAAAGACTCCACAACTCTGACACATGTATTAACACTGAAACACTCCAAATGCACTTGTGGTTTCTATAGCCTTGGGGAGTGTAATGAGTAACACAGTCAACTCTCCCTTGCTGCCTTTGCTAAGCAAGTACTTTCACCTCATTGAGAACTCCTGTGAGAGTTTTGTCTCTGTCCAAGAGCACACTTGTGCCTTTTCAGGCACATCATTTCCTTTGATACTCAGTGAAAGAAAGAAGCAAACATGAGGATGCTTAATCTACAGACTTCATCACATGATTTCCAGAAATCAAAGCAATGTGTGGGTAGGATTGTTTCTGCCAGATCACAGCCTATTGGGTGTCAAATTCGCTATAGAGTACATAGGAGAACTTGTAGCTCCAAGTAACGTTATAGACCTCCACCTCTTCTGCCAGCATCCATTAAATCTGCTCTCTGATGCGAATTCATTTTGTGAGCTGGCGTTTGTTCTTAGCTCAAGGTCTTCTAGATACTGCCGTGTGTGTTTTACTGAAGTTTATTCCTTGGCAACAGCGGAAGTGCCATTGACCCACTGTTGTGGCAGAAGTGCACAAGAGACTCATAGCTCCCTACTGGTCCCAGACCACCTTATCTGTTATCAGTGGTTCGTACAGTACCTTTCTTTGCATCTTCATACAGGCAATTACTCTCCCCTAATCAGAGCTTCAACAGATTCACTGTTGGATTAGGAATACTTACTTCATTCACGATGTATATAAACCCCATTCTTGTGACTTGGGAACCCTACCATGTTGTCATGAAATTTATGAAAACGATTTTATTTCAGTTTATTTTACAGTCATTTCAGTGTGTCAAATAAAAACAGAATCATCATTCTAAACATTCCAGGCTAAAAACTGTACACAAAAAAGGAGATGGTCATCTAAGAGTTAACCACTGTACGCCTAATTTTTAAACAGTCACCCCACAGAGCGGCATCCAGGCCCTGTGTCAGCCTCTGCACTACATGCATAAGAGTTAGCCACCTTGGAACGGGAGCCAAAAATAACCTGCAAATAAACAGCCACAAACTGCCTTGGGCTATCTTCAGCCTTTTCTACAGGGAGGGGGTGGATAAAACCTGCTTCTTGGAATTATATGTTTAAATAGTCACTTCTGGGA